TCACTTGTAATGGTTATGTTCAGGTTTTGGATTTCTTCATGGTTCAATCTTGGAAGATTGTATGTGTCTTGGAATTTATCAATTTCTACTAGATTTTCCAGTTAGTTGGCATACAGTGATCATAATAGCCACTAATGATCCTTTGGATTTCTGGGACATCAGTTGTAATGTCCCATTTTTCATCTTTAATTTTTATTTAGGTTTTTTCTTTGTATTTCTTAGTCTGGCTAAAGTTTTGTCAATTTTCTTTTAAAAACACCAAGGTTTTATTTCATTGATCTTTTGTATTTTTTTAATTTCAAATTGATTTATTTATGATCTTATCTTTATTATTTTTATTCTTCTACTAATTTGAGAATTGCTTTGTTGTTGTTCTTTTTTTTTTTTTCCTTGAGATGGAGTCTTTCTCTGTCACCCAGACTAGAGTACAGTGGCATGATCTAGGCTCACTGCAACCTCTGTCTCCCAAGTTCAAGTGATTCGCCTACCTCAGCCTTCTGAGTAGCTGGGATTACAGGCACGCAACACCACACCCAGCTGATTTGTATTTTTAGTAGAGACAGGGTTTCACCATGTTGGTCAGGCTGGTCTCCAACTCCTGACCTTGTGATCCACCTGCCTCAGCCTCCCAAAGTGCTGGGATTGCAGGCGTGAGCCACCGCGCCCAACCTTGTTGTTGTTCTTTTAGTTCTATAAGATGTATCATTAAGTTATTTATGTAAAGTGGTTTTATTTTTATGTAAGCAATTACAGCTATAACCTTCCTTCTTAGTATTGCTTTTACTGTATCCCATAGTTTTTGATATGTTGCGTTTTCATTATCATTTGTTTCTGGAATTTAAAAAATTTTCTTCTTGGCTTCTTTGATCCACTGGTTGCAGGGGCTTATTGTTTAATTTCCATGTGTTTGTATAGTTTCCAATTTCCTCTTGTTATTAATTTCTAGTTTTATTCCATTGTGGTCGGAGAACACGTTTAATATTATATCAGTTTCTTGAATGTTTTAAGAATTGTTTAGTGACCTAATAATGTCTCTTCTTGAGAATGATCTATGTGTGGAGGAGAAAAATGTGTGTTCTACAGCCATTGAATAAAATATTCTGTGAATGTCTGTTAAGTCCATTTATGCTATAATGCAAATTAGCTCCAGTGGTTCATTGTTTATTTTCCTGCTGGGAATTCCTTTCAATGCTGGAATTTGGGTGTTCTTTGGGTATTTTGTTTTGTTTTGTTTTGTACTGAAGTCTATCTCACTCTTTAGTGTTTAACTCTAGTGGTTCATTATTTATTTTCCTGCTGGGAGTTCCTTTAAATTCTGGAAGTTGAGTGTTCTCTGGGTATTTTTCTTTTTTGTATTGAAGTCTATCTTGCTCTTTAGTGTCATTAATATTCTCTTTATATATTGGATGCTGCAGTGTTGGGTGCATATATATTTACCTAACACTGGAGCATCCAATATATAAAGAAAATTGTTATATCACCTTGCTGAATTGACCGCTTTATTATTATATAATGACTTTCTTGGTGTATTCTTACAGATTTTGTCTTGAAATTAATTTTGTGTGATATAAGTATAGTTACTCCTGCTCTTATTTGGTTTCCATTGGCATGAACTAACTTTTTTTATCCCTTTAAGTCTATGTGTATGTTTGTAGGCAACGTATATTTCTTGTAGGCAACAGATCATTAGGTCTTGTTTTTTCATCCATTCAGGCACTCTATGTCTTTTGATTGGAAAATTTAATTCAGTCATGTTCAATGTTATAATGGTTAGATAGGGACTGACTCCTGTCATCTTGCTGTTGGTTTTCTGGTTGTTTTGCATTGTCCTCTTCTTTTCTTCTTTCTTGTCTTCCTTTTAATGATGGTGATTGACTTACCCTGGTGGTATGCTTTAATCTCTTGCTTTTTATTTCTTTGTGTCTGATGTATGTTTTTCAATTTGAAGTTACCATGAGCCTTCTAAATTCTATCTTATAACCCATTATTTTTAACTAATGACAACTTAACATTTATTTCATTAACAAACACACACATACAACCTATACGTTAGAAACTTGTATCACACAAAATTGATTTCAAGACAAAATCTGTAAGAATGATATTCAGCTGTTTGTATCCCCAACATTCAGCAGCTTGTGTCCCTGCCAGTCAGCTACCTGTGTTGCTCTGCCAGCTAAAGTATTTTTATGGGCAAAGAATCGGGATGTTTCAGGCCAAAAAAGCAACTTACAGAAAAAATGAGGTCAGCTGTTTTCACTTAGGCTGCAGCTCCAGGCTTAAGGATGAAGTTTAACTAGGAACCCACCCATTCCGTATTATAAGAGGCACATCTAACTACTGTTTGAATATGGATTAGGCTGAGTGCAGTGGCTCATGCCTATAATCCCAGCACTTTAGGAAGCTGAGGCAGACAGATCACAAGGTCAGAAGTTCGAGGCCAGCCTGGCCAATAAGGTGAAACCCCATCTCTACTAAAAATACAAAAAATTAGCTGGGCATGGTGGTGGGTGCCTGTAGTCCCAGCTCTCATGAGGCTGAGGCAGGAGAATCACTTGAACCCAGGAGGCAGAGGTTACAGTGAGC